TGCGAGAACTCCATCTTTTCCTCCTCTTTGTAGGCGGCGGGAGCTGAGGGACTTGCGAGAACTCCATCTTTTCCTCCTCTTTGTAGGCGGCGGGAGCTGAGGAACCTGCGAGAACTGAATCAGAGGACCCGGGGGTATTTACCCAGCGGGGACTCTCCGATGCCTAAGTTAGCATTCTGATTGCAGAGAGCTTGGAGAGAAATGAGAGAACTAGAGAGCAGGGATTACCTCCATTTTTCCATTCTCTCCCCCTCTGGGGGGTCGGAGCTCTTATGTAGCGGTGTCCTGACAGATCTGGCGTAACCGTCTCTGACTCTCTGTTGCTGTCGTTACTTGCCAGGGCTGAGCTGGTGGGCGCAGGTAACCATTGTAGGGTATGGCCCTATCAGACATGAGGCGTTGTCAGAGTTGGCAGGCACGACACCGCTTGGCCAGAGATGTGGGTGTAGTCTCCAGGTCTGGCAGGTACGATTGTCAGGTAGGAAATCTTCTTGTGATACGTCGAGCTGCCCCTAAGTGGCGAGCTCTTCGTAAGACGCCAGACTACCTGTGGAGTGGCCAGTTGCCTATGGTGAGCTACCTGTAAGTGGCGAGCTGCCCCTAAGTGTTGAGTTACATATGCCGAGCTGCCTGTAAGTGCCGAGCTACCTAGTTGTCAAGAGGCTGCACTTAGTTGGCATGAGGTGCCAGGTGTCATAATTTCACTAGAGGGCCAAATCCGCCCTCATCAAAAACTACTTTTATAAAAATACTTTCATAAAAATGCTTTTATAAAAATACTTTTATAAAAATACTTTTCTAAAAATATTTTTATAAAAATACTTTAATAAAAATGCTTTTATAAAAAGATGCGCCTACTTTATCCTCTATGTACGTGTTACCACTAAAATTACCAACATATAAATATAAATACATAAACCGAATGAAAACCAAATCAAAATTTGACCGGAATTTTACTTCTAATATTTTACCTTCGATGTAAAAAAGAATAAAAAAATTAAATGTATTTTTCAATCGAAATCCGAAAGAAGGCTAATGGAAAAGTAGAGAAGAAGATTGGCCTTCTTTTCGGGAGGAGGGCGGAGGGGATAGTTAGAAAGTTTTAGTCAAAGTCAAACCATGCAAAAATGTGAAGAAGACTCGTGGCTTTCCTTTCCTCTTCTTGTGAAGGTTAGTTGGGTCATGGGTGCGGGTGACGCCGTGCAGGTGCAGGTGGGCCTATTACTCTACTTCGTTCTTCACGTCGAACGCTTCCCTGAACCGTGAGTGACCCTGACATGGCAAGGGCCCACCCAAACCCACGAAAACTCTGACGATCAAAAACACCTGTCATCCACTAAGTTAATTTAATTGGGAAGCTCGACCGGACAGACATACGCCAAACGCCACAATCCGAAAACAAAAAGGCAAAAGCTTCACCAATCACCATAAAAAATCTCTCTCCCAAGTCCCATGTTTAATGGGTTTTCTCTATTCACGATTCAGAACTTCAGTTTCAGACTGTGAACAAGATCCGACCATATTATCCATTTGGCGAAGGGTCCCATTCATCGGATGGCTTATGTCAACCAATCAGCCAATATGCGATGATGAATCGATGACCGGTGACCATAAGCTCAGGGCCTCATGACTTCTGCTGCGCCACGGTGTACGTTAGAAACCGGGCATAACAACACGTTCCTCCCACGAGGCCACGTGTCCACGACTACTATTAAGTATAAACACCGTTTATTCTACAAGATTCAAATTACCAAACTACCCTACGCGTGGACAGATAATATCAATGCACGGCAAGCATGTTCACCGAGCTTGCTTTGCTAATTAAATGCCAAAACTATAGGGCTGTTCTAGAATACCAGTTTTTTTTTTTTTTTAATGTGAGTGTTAAAAGACCAACAAGTTTATTGATGAGTAGGCACCCCAGTAATATCCTAACTCTTGGTAATGCATTTTAAGACTAACTATGAATATTTTTGACAGATTGTATCCTGAGCAATTTATTTTGCCTTCTTGAAAAACCTTGAAAAAAAATCACCTATGGTCTCATATTTAATACATATGCAATATAAACATGATATAGGGAAATGTTTATATTTTTAAAAGACAAAAATATCCTCGACTTACTTTGATTCACCAAACCTATATTTAATATTTTTAATATGATAAAAATTACCACGGGCAAATTCCATATACCTCAGAATGTGCTCTGCAATTAATACTATTCAATCTAATTTTGTTTCTTATATAGGATACAACATAGAGAAATTACGGAGGTGGTGATACTTCTCATACCTCAACTTTCATTTTGTAAGTGATGGAGGGTGATTTGGCCTGATCTCGTACCACAGGGACATGTATGCATAATTTGGCTCGACGAACAGCTCAGTCTAACAACATAACCGTAACTTGACGGGAGGGATCCACCGAGTCCAACGTTGGCCACTCGACGGGTTAAGCGACTCGTCGGGGACTAGCGTTCGGCCGACCTTGACTCCCACCAAGTGTGGGAGATCCCGAACTCCTCTCAAGGCTCGAGCTCCCCTTGAGACCCGAGCTCCTCCTAAGGGGCCCCGAGCTCTCCCTTCCCAAGAAGAGAGCACCCCGATTTTTGGCTAAGTGTCCCGAGGGAGGACACCTCGGGGCAGCACCATCGAGACTCCTTTTCGAACTTGCTCAAGGCTCGCCTATAGTGCGGGCACCTCGACGTACCTCGGCACCTCGGTGCAAGGCAAACCTGCCCCCAGGTGGTTCGGTGTACAATAGCTCGGCAGGCTGTAGGGAGATCTGCCTGACATCCGTACCTACCGAATCCGATGACAGGGCTCGGATCCCTTGCTAGGCGGCGTTCTGCTTACCGTCTCTGAAAAGCATGGCACGCCTGTCGAGTCCGTACCTTGCAATAGCAGCCTGTAGCAGCAACCTGTACCTGCCACACCTGCCTTGGCAGTAATGGCTAGGGCAGTGGCGGTTATGCCAGATATGACCGAGCTCCGATATAAAAGAACCCCAATCCTCACGAAACGGAGGTATTGAAGCTAGCACTTTCAGCACTCTTAATTCTTTGTATCTTCTTTAAGTTTTCCTCAGAGTTCTAACTTAGCCATCGGAGTGTTCCCTCTGGGAGAGCTTTCCGGAAACCCTTCACCTTCTTCTTCCTCTCAGGTGCTATCCATCACAGCTAAGAACCAACTCTCAGCCAGGTGCCGTCCATCACAACTAAGAGCCAATTCTCAGCCAGCTAAGAATGCTCACTGCACCACTAACCTTCTTAGACATGGGCATGACAACCGAGAGCATAGGTGTGAGAGACTAATAGTAATTCCGCTCGGTAAAGACTATGAAGGTAGTAGGGAGGTTTTAGATAATTTACCTTTGAGAAAAAGACATATAAAGGAAGGCAATGCTAAATCAAGTCAACTACGCGGCAAAGTTCATTAGCGGAAATGGCAGCGGATTAACGTCGGTTAGCAAAGACTAAAAGAGTTCGAAACTTGACAAAATGTTACTTTGGAGCTTTGGACGGACGTTACCGAGCCTAGAGACGAGGTTCGGTTGAGCCGAGCCTAAGACGCTCATATCGGAGCTATAAATGGAAGTCCCGATAGAGAATTTTCAAAGCAAAGTCGCGGAGGAGAGGATTCCTTTGAAGCTATTTGGACGCCCAAACGCGCTAACCAACGACGAACATATCAGGTACCCTTCCTCCCTCTTCCCTCTTTCTCTTCCTCTTCCTGTTCTTCTTCTCTTTTTCTCGTGCCTGATTTTGATTCATTTGTTTTCTTTTTCTGTGATTGTTTTGGCCGAAGAAATCCTTCGATGTGTTGAAGTTTTCATCGGCGTCTTTGATGCCTAGGGTTCGATTCTTGGATTATTCTGTGTTTAGTTTCTGCAAAATTGTGCTTTCCTCTCTTTAAATGCTGTATTTTCCGGGTAGGCTTGCTTAATCTTGTATGGATCATCGAAAGTAGTCGTTTTTTTTTAAGAGAAAGATGCTTTTTTTTTTTTTTTACTTTAATTTTGTCATGTGTGGGTTCAGGGAAAATGATTTTGATGGATTGGGGGAAATGTTGCTTAATCTAGAATATTCTACGCTTTATTCTGGTTTTTGAAGGTTTTGTCAGATTCCTTTTCTCCGTAAAATCTGAAAATCTTCTTATTTACACAAAATGGATCTAGAGCTCTGACTTAGAATAGGTCAAAGTTGATCAGAAGGTCTTCTTTTTTATTTGATCTTGGTGAACTTGTGGTGAAGCAGGAGTTCTTATTTGAGCAAGGAAGGGAATTTTATCAAGGAATGGGGGATCACTTGGTTTTGTATGTTGATCGCCTCATGACACCTGCGGCTTTACACTCCACGGTAGGAGGTGAAGCTCCGGGACCTTCCGGAGAAGGCCCTAGTGCCCAAATTGCAGTTTCATCCGGTTTTTCCAGTGAAGATAACAAAGTTGAGGAACATGAGGTCTCTGGTGAGGAGGAACCTCTTCTTCAGACCATCGAATGCCGCATTTGTCAAGAGGAGGACCACATCAACAACCTGGAAGCGCCTTGTGCTTGTAGTGGCAGTTTGAAGGTATCCATCTTATGAGTCTTTCTGCCCTTCAATTTCTAATATAAGAATATTATGCCTTGTTCTTGTTCTCCGTATTCGCTTGATATGTTGTTGCTGTTGCCTCTTTGATGTTAGATTGTAGAATGACATAAAACCCAATCTAGTTCTGTTTCCTATGTTGAACGACAGAGAAGAACATTTTATAGTAAAGTCAAAACCTTGCGCAGTGGTTAGAATAGCATGCAATTAGTACAAATAGGTCCTAAGAGTTAATCTTCTGTTTCATTCAACATAACTATTGTTCTTTCTATGAATCTTCTATTTGAAAATTTCTGAACTCCCATATATCTTTTTCAAGTAAAGGGTTATATGCTCACCCCATCTTTGAACGAAGTACTTTCCATGTATTGTAGAGAGGATTAATTTATGAATTCAAGAAGGATTCAGAAGCTCTTCTATGTTCTTAAAATCATGATTGGTTTCTATCTTTCCCATTGAGCTGATGAATTCTGCTATACTATTTTTTATTCATCAATATGCACAATTATTGATTTGGTCAAAAGGTATAAATTCTTCTTGATGCTTGCATTTAGGTTGTTCCTTACCTTTATGTCTTTTCCTCTTAGGAAATGAGTTGGGCATCTTAATATCAGAAGTGAAAACTGAACTTGGAGGAAATTTTGTAGTATTAAACTATGATTTTCCCAACTCTTTTATCTGTTCTGGATAATAACAGCTTTGCTTTCGGTTTTCTGATAAATAATGCTAATGAGGATTTTTTAACATTTAAAATATTTAGAAGGGGAACCTTTAGCACAGTGAACCAAGTAATGATTGCCATTCTTCTTCATGCACAAGTAGTTCTAATTTTGTAGTCTTTCTATTATTTGGCTCTAGCAGGAAAGATATCATCTGGTATTTGCTTTGATCTCATAAAACTGTTCCGATGGCTGTTTTTCAAATGCATTTTTTTGTTGTCCATTCTTTTCCATTTTCCCATCTCTGTTTGAGATATGTTTTATTGTCTAGTTTTTCTTTCTGGGGGTTTTATCTCTTGGATTGGACACTGATATTAGAGTGAGATATTATGCAGTATGCTCACAGGAAGTGTGTTCAGCGATGGTGCAATGAGAAAGGGGATATAACTTGTGAGATCTGCCATCAGGTATGACAATTTCTTCTTAATACCTTGACAAATGCTAGTTTTGTTTTCACACTTTGCATAAGGGGATTTCTCCTACTTCTTGGAAATATAACTCCTATTATTTTATTTTCTCCAATAGTGTAATTATAACTATATGTTGGTTTTCCTCTTCTAATTTATTTATATGATTTTAGTTTACCTACCATATTGTCTTGCATAAATATCATAATATGCTGGGATAATGTTATCAGGAAGAGGCAACATTATTTCCTATTTAACTTTCATATGTGATAACAATTTTGCCTCTAGGTGGTAACATAGGTTTTGCTATGGTCGAATTTTTCTTAAGATGGCAAAGTTTTGTGATCTCACCGGCTTCTAAGTTGCTATGAAATATGGTCTTTTGGGATTGTTTGACAACAAATAGGCCATTCAATATGGTGTAGGTTGAAATAAAACTCTAAAATTCTTGGGATTATTTTCCACTTCATCCATCCCTTAATCAGCATGTATCTATGCATAAAACATGAACTTTGCCAGCAATACATGTAAATGATCAATGATTTAATTTCTTGCAGCAATATATCATATACCCACACTTCTTTTAATTTCAAAATAATGTAAATTACATATGGAATGAAGTTGGATCATTCATTTATTTTCTAATTACTAACGAATAGTCTAGACAGATGAATAATCTATTTTTAAAGTACTACATAAATGGTTCTTATCTTGTTTGTCTAGAAACATGTTGTTACATTGCTCATCATTGTTCTTCTCTCGCTCTATGTGTCTAATTTTGTCTATCTGTATGTCTGTATGTGTATATGCATTACCACTTGTCTGTTTACTTGATAAAGTTATTTAATCATCAAACCAGATTTCTAATTGTATATAAGAATATTCTTTCACGTTCATCTCTGTTAGAAAATATATTGAGCATGGACATATGATGGCATTTGCCTATTTAAAAGGAAAACAGATTGCTATTTTATATTGTTTTATGCTCTGTCAGACATAAAGAAAGTACATACCCTAGTTGGTTCTATAGCCCATCTATTTTCATAATTTTTGCACGTGTATTGCAAAATGATTTTTGGTTAGCTGACTGCAATTGTGGAACTTTTCTTCCTATACAGCTTTATCAACCGGGTTATACTGCACCACCGCCTCCACCACAGTCTAGAAACATGTTGTTACATTGTTCATCATTGTTCTTCTCTCTCTCTATGTGTCTAATTTTGTCTATCTGTATGTCTGTATGTGTATATGCATTACCACTTATCTGTTTACTTGATAAAGTTATTTAATCATCAAACCAGATTTCTAATTGTATATAAGAATATTCTTTCACGTTCATCTCTGTTAGAAAATATATTGAGCATGAACATATGATAGCATTTGCCTATTTAAAAGGAAAACAGATTCCTATTTTATATTGTTTTATGCTCTGTCAGGCATAAAGAAAGTACATACCCTAATTGATTTCTATAGCCCATCTATTTTCATAATTTTTGCACGTGTATTGCAAAATGATTTTTTGTTATCTGACTGCAATTGTGGAACTTTTCTTCCTATACAGCCTTATCAACCGGATTATACTGCACCACCGCCTCCACCACAGTCTGAAGATACCACAATTAATATCAGGTAAGTTTAATATGTAATCTTCAGTAGATTTCTTGCATTTGGATGATGATGATTGGAGTTGTCACTTTGGAATTTGGAAATGCTACTAAGGCCATCACCCATTGTTGGTACCAGCTATTCTGGTGTCTTGGTAGGGGTTGACGGGATACGAACCTGATCTTTGGCACTTTTTGCACAATATGGATATGGGTGCTCTTATTTTTGTGTTTGTGGCTTTGACATTTGAAGTTGGGATGGTTTTTAATAATCATCATTTCTTTTTATCCTTTTTTTTTGTAATAGTGGTTGGACAATCTCTGGTGCCCCTGTGGATTTGCATGATCCTCGACTCTTGGCAATGGCAGCAGCTGAACGCCATTTTCTGGAAGCTGAATATGATGAATATGCTGCTACAAATGCTAGTGGGGCTGCATTTTGCCGCTCGGCTGCTCTAATTGTAAGTAATTATAATAACTATCCATCAAAAGTAATTGCAAGTAATTATAATTATTGTTTACTTGTAAACCATGGGAGGTGGAATGATGCATGGACTACCAAAAGGTAAAAAGAAAATGTTTTTTTTTTTTATTTTTTATTTTGCTATTAATCTGAACGATCTGGAGCTATGATTTGTAAAGAAGAGAATATTTATATTTAGGAGGAAAACAATGCCATGCTGCTAAAGTGTTGTCAGTGTTTTCAAAACTGGACCGGACCGGAAAAACTGGGAACCAGTCACCTGACCAGTTCCATTTCACCCCAACACCGCTTTTTGGCCAAAAACCATTGATTTGGTCAGTGAACCACTGACCCAGGTGATCGAACTGTCAAACCGGACAATGGTTTTTGGTCCTTTTTTGTTTTTATTTTTTATTTTTAATTTTTTTGTCAGAGTGGGGTGTCAGTTTGGTCCAACTCGGACTGTTCAACCTGGGAACCAGACCCCAGAACGGTTCCTTGTTTGGTCCAGTTGTAAACCTTGGTTGTTGTAATGCATCATGTCGATTGTAGTCGTTTTAAATAAAATAGAACATCTACCATTCTGAGGTGTTTATTGCATATATTGCAAAATGCAAACCAAAATGAAAGAAAGAAAAACAAACATCTCCCCCCTTCAACTTTTGTATATCCATCTATCGGGTTTTCCTCCTTTCAATTTTTGTCATATTGGTTGTTATTTTCATTAGTAGTTCTTGCATGTTCATACTCTGAATTTAAACTTTTTTGTTTTCCCATTGCAGTTAATGGCACTTTTGCTCTTGAGGCATGCATTATCTATCACCAATGGGGATGGGGATGAGGATGATGCCTCCACCTTCTTCTCTGTAAGCAGGATTAGCAACCCAGTCCATCTTTAAATGGGTTTATTTGTTTTTTCATTGTTCCTTGCCATAGTTTAGATGATATTTGGCTAGGCATCTTAATACATTTTTACCAATAAAAAGGGTAACTATTTTTTGTTTTCTCAACAGCTTTTCCTGCTCCGTGCTGCTGGGTTTCTTTTGCCATGTTACATTATGGCCTGGGCCATCAGTATTTTGCAGCGCCGAAGACAAAGACAGGTTAGTGGATCCCCCCAACATTTATACTTTCTTAGTGTATATAGGGGAGCGCATCCCTGTGGTGCTTCGTGTTTCATTTGGCAAGGGGAAATTCTTCTAGGTTACAAGATGTATGTTAGCTTGGTTGATATAGTAATTAATACCTACTTTGTGAATCAGGAAGCTGCAGCTCTTGCAGCAACAGAGGTCGCATTTGTACTGCAGTCGGGGCAACGTAGAGGTTTACAGTTCACCATAGCGCCAGGACCTGCAGTGACTCCTCATCAGGAACCACTGCAATAGTAGGGACATTTGAATGTTAAAAAGAGGGATATTCGTTTACTGATGAACTAGTATGGAAGAGGCGAGAGAGGTTCATCAATTCTCATTTGTAATTTCTACACCTTTTACTCAGCTTTGTTGTTGTATAAACAATTAGCTTTTTGCTATTTTCTCAATAGATATATGTACATAAACTTGTGATTTTCGCAGCAACAGCGAGCTTCCCGTGAAACTGATGATCTGCGGGAAATGTTTCCCTGACAAATGAGAATTGAGAAATAATCATGGCCATGGGGCTATTTATGAATCATCCGCTCCAACCGGACCCACCCGGAACACAGTTGTAATTAATTATTCATTTTTCAATTTTATTTGCTTGCATGATCCGATATTGTTGGTCTTTGGTGCTCTATGGATACGGTAGAGATTGTCATTTTTTTTAGAGAATTAATTCTGATGATTTTTTTTTATTCCAATATTTGTTTTTCTAAACTTTGTTATATGAAAATTGTTTAAATTATTTCTTTCATTTTTTTATTCAAAACACGTTTTATGAATCGATTCTTTTGGAGATGAAAGATTTAATTTCAAAGAAGAAACCGGTCCTGAGTCTCTCTATTTGAAGCAGGATTTAATTTCAAAGATTTAATTTTATTCCCGATGCAAGGTTACAAGAGACTGTTGGGACAGTATGAGCACAGGCTAGTCCTGACCGAAGCTGATCTCAGTAATATCAGGGCAGGCTTTTTGAAGAAACTCAACCAATCCAATTAACATCCGGCTGGCCTAAATTTTTGTTGCTCTCATTTCCTCTAACTCCAATGCTACTAAAATGGCTGCAAATGGATCCAATTAGATCTTATCAATTGGATTTTTATTGGATTCAAATTGAATTTGGATTGTAATTAGATATTCAATAGTATACATAAATTAAACTAAAAAAGTTCAAAATATTATATAGTATATAATAAAATGAACTAAAATTTGCTCTTTTTATTTAAGGTCTGATGAGGCAAGATTCATTAATTGGAGCTTAAATTACAGTCTTGAATGATACAAGAAGGAATCGAGGACATGAGGCCGAAGTCTGTGGCCTAGAAACCTTCAACCCAAATCAATGCATTAATTGGAAATCAATTAAAAACGATATTGATATTATATTTTATGAACAAAATTAATTAAAAATTACTCGTATGAAACTTGAGCCTATAGAAAATTTAGCAAAACAATAACATCAAAATCAACTTAATTTACTAATGTATACGATATATAAGTTTTAAGTATATATGAACATATATGTATATATTTAAATAAAATTGAATCCATTATATCATATTGGACGAGGGTGGATCTATTGGAATTCGGGTCACCCTTGATAGGATGGAAGAACTCAAATTCAAATTCGGATAATTGAATACCGTTTGCAGCCATACAGTCAGTCAGGTTCACTTCTCTTGGTCTCCTACCACTAGAGAAACAATATCTACACAAGCCTTTGATTTGGCTATCCGAGTTACTGCCTGCCCCTACCCTATGTATTAATGCTGACCTTCAACAAGGCTCACTGCATGAGAAAACTATAACCCTGTGAGCTTTTGGTTTAACAATTTCGTTCACACTCGAGGTACATAAGCTCTCGAAATTACATGAAGAATTGAATAAGCGAAGAGGATAAAAAATTAAAGTAGATTCCTCATGATTTTGGAGTGCACAATCTAGAGAATGTGTCCTTCTGGTACCTTAAGTCTTAAGGATCTATTAACTAACTTAGGGAAAAAAAAAGCAAGGCAGCATATATTCTCCAAAAGAAAAATATGTAATATAGCCTGTACAGTACTACTGTCATTACTCTTTTTCTTAACATTATTATTTATGAGGGCCAAGGCATGGATGAATTAAAACAACCCCAAAAGCGAAACAAAGCAAACATGTTCTTTATGCTTTAACATAATTGTGTTTTTTGACATGCCATTTGCAGCCCATTACCATTGTGTGTCAACCATTACATTTGTCATACCAAAAAACATTAAGTGGGCCATGAGGCCCATGACTAAACCTTGGGTAACTTTGTTGCTTTTGTTTATTCGGTAAGATTTAGGACTGCAAATGGTATAAGCATACATTAATTTAATTCAAATTCCATCTATTTATAATTGGATCAAATATAAATCTACATAGAATTAATACGCATTAATTTTCAATTTTGGCTTAAAAGTCATAGGTTTAAATGTGGTGAAAGCTATTTTCAAGTCATTTGTTTATGATAACACTATTAAATTCATTTTCAATTTATTTTTTTTGTGGCATATAATACCTTAATAAAGCTATTTTAGTTTATTAATTACACAATATATTCAAAAAATGAATGTGGTAGAAATACATATACTGAGATGGATGGACAGAAAAACTAAAAAGGAACGAGATCAAAAGTAAAGATTTGAAAAACCTTAGGAGTGGCTCCAATAGATAATAAAATGAGAGAAGATAAAGTAAGATGGTTTGATCACATGTATAGAAGACCATCAATAACTAAGAGTGATTTATTGCAAGTTGAAGGGCTAGAAGGGCTAGGTATAGACCAAGAAGGACATGAGTCCAACTACCAAGAGATGATCTAATCATCCATAATTTAACAATGGAAATGGCATTAAAGAAAACATGACGGCTAACAGGATTCATGTACCCGACCCCATATGGTTGGGATAAGGTTTGGATGATGTCATGGTGAAGAATAGAAGATGATGAACTAAACTCATTATCCGAATCAGATCCAAGTCAGATTTAAGGTCTAAATTGGATGGATCAGATTCAATTTGAATTTGAACATTTAGCGGCTGTTTGGCATTGTTGCCGCTTTCTGGAACACCAGCGTTAAAGTTGCTGTTGCTCTAGGAAACGTCCTACCTGACAGCAACAATTTCAAACAAAAATAAAGGAACCGTTTTCTAAGAAAACAGTACTCCAAGCTACACATCAACAGCACGGTTTTCTCATGCAATTGTAACATCAATGCTAAACATATACTTAATGAATCAAATTAACTTGCACAGTATTGTGCCAGCTCTTTTAAACAAAACCATACACGTTGGATAACACTCCCTTAATTTTTGTATAATTTCCAAATAATATAGTAGGGCTAACAAGAGTACTTCATGAGAGTGTTCCCAAACTTCCATCCAGACTTGGATTGGTCTGGATGCTCAAAACAATGCATGAGCCAATGAGCTTTCCTCTGTTTTTTTTTTTTATTTGACGGTTTTCATAGGCTAAATAATCGAGATCTTGGTAAAATCGGTACTTGTGATGGAAGACAAGGTCGAGAAGTTCCTAAAAGCTAAAACCATCACTTCTAATGTCTCTAAAAACAAACATGGTCACAGACGCCCCTAATAAATCAGCAGCTCACAATAGCCAAAAGCATCTGACGAGAGAGAGAGAGAATAAGCAAATATAGAAATGCCAAGTGAGAAGAGAATAGTGCAAAGTTCAGGTAATGACCTGTAACAACAGCGATTGAGGGTTGCTTTAATTTCTTTTTCACTCTTTTCTTAATTCTTTCTCATATTCCGGGACTAATTTTGTATGAAGAGGTAGAACCCAGCCTAGACTAACAGTGTTAAGGTAAGGCGGGAGCTGGAACCTGATGAAGTGGGTCTTTGTTTAAGTTTAAATAAAAGTTCAGAAGACTACAACTTTAAGACCAATCCAGAGAATCTACAAAGACCTCTCAAGTCTCAACTATAAGCCCCCATTATTTTCTTCTTCTTCTTCTCCTCCTTTTACAAATCTCTACAGGGCCTTTAGACTCCCATTCTCCTTGGAATAACAACTTTATGAAGAGGTAACTAAGTGGGGTATCCTTCTAAGTACCAAACCTTAAAAAGTACATACCCGTACATAGCCAAGCAAGGGACCCACCTACACCTTTCCATTTCCCTATTCAGCATATCCTCTGTTTCAATCTTTTGATAAATTGGCCCTTTTAAAGATATCCAACGCCCTATAATTCTACACGTGGCATTGTTCTTGCCATCTCCATAATACTCCTACTTCACATGTTTTACTTTTTATCTCCACAGTCTCTACCACAATACAAAGTTAATCTCTTCTCCTTTCATTTTTCTTCATTTTTCCTATTTTTTAATTAAAAAAAAATCAGGCTTTGAGTGCCATTACTTGGAAAAGGTCCAATTGTTGGAAGGGAGGGGACATACATTGGATATCTAATAAAAAAAATCCACAGAATTGGATAAATAAAATGGGTTAATGAATTTGTAAATTTCTTCATTCAAGCCTCACCGATATTCTTATTTTATTCATATAAGAAACAGGATGGTCAAGTAGTGAATTTCCTACATAAATCCACCAATTTCAACCACGCACACGGACGAATCCTATGGTTGATCGAAATCACTCATCAGATAGGGGATGAAGCAAAGATGTGGGGGACCTCCTTATAACTATTTTCAGTTGTACTCATTAAAATAATAATCAATATAGGAAAACCTAAATGCATTGACAGTAGAGAAATTTCAGGTTTTATCTATGGATATGCATGTCCACTAGAGATTGGCTACAACTCATATCAGTCATATTTCCTGCCTTGTATTGATGGTTCTTACAACTAATATTAGCCATTCGAAGTTTAATTTTGCAACAGGAAACCTAAAACCCCCCACCTATTAAAAAAGGGCTTCTTTTACACGTGGCAAAGTCTTTGAAGGCAAAGCCTTTTCTATGAACAAGAGAAGAATGAAAGGAATTTTGGAGGCCCCATTTGAACTCCTAATTAATTTCCCATTTGAAAGATTCATGGGTCATTAAGGCAAGCTCATTATTCATTGGATAGCCCAACCCAACTAGTATTCATTTCTATGGTTTTTAATATCAGACTGGACTGGATGGTCAGACCGGAAAAACCGAGAACCAGTCAGGTGATTAGTTCCGTTTTATCTTAGAACTGTTATTTCCCAAAACCGTTGATTTGGTCAGCAAACCCCTGACCCAGGCAGTCGAACTGTTCGAACCATTCAATAGTTTGGCCATTTTTTATTTTTTTGTCAGAACAGGCCAACCGTTCGACCCGAGAACTGAACCCCTGACCAGTTTATTCGCTTCACTTTTAAAAACCTTGTTCATTTCCTTAATCTTATGAGGATTTTATGCTTTTCTATTTTTGGTATTGACATGTTATAAAGAATTTATACGTAATATTATTGAACTGATGTAATATTAACTCGAAATTTATAAACTAAGAAAAAAGGAAGAATATGTATAAATGATGAGAATGAGGTAGAGTGGAGGTATACATATAATGCCAACGGATAATCTGTAGTAGCTCTTAAAGGGGGGAGTTGAACCTTGTGGCGTATGAGGAAGAGTAGAAAGCAACAGCTCCCCACTGTTCTTTTACTTTAATTGAAAGCTAAAAGCAAATGCCCACCTATTAATAACATGCTATCAAAGCCGCGGCATTCTGCTTGGACCACGACCAGTCCAAATTCCACCGTCTTAAGACACCACAAAATTTAACCCTAAATTTAATAAAGTGTGAGAATCGATGCTTTTGGAATTTTTTTTTCTTAGTTGCATGTGATTTTATAAATTAATAGAAGATAAAAATAAAGGGAAAGAAGGTCTACATGGATAACCGAGAAAACAAATTAAAGAAAAATAAAGAAAGAGATGGGGGAGGGGAGATAATGAGAATATGAGATGGTGAGAGGTGAGATGTGGAGAGGCTTGTAGTGGGTCTTCTTTGAAACTTTGAATGTGGGGTTTGGAGCTGAGCAATCCAAAGAAACAGCAAAGAAAAGCATAAAGAAACCCATTCAGCACACGAAACCAAAGGACTGTTATTTTGTTGCATGGAGAGAAGAGCTTGGAATTCTAAAGTGAGAGAAGATCTCAGAATGGCATAAAGCAAGTATTTGGTTTTCTTGAGGGGGTTCCATTCCCCACCCTTCCTCCCAGTTCTTCTCTACTTTATGGCTTGCTTGTAACTGTAGCAATCTTGATCTTTGGCTCATGGCTAGCTTTTGGCTTTCCAGCCACACCAGAGACTAGACTAGTCACTAGTATTTGCCCATTGTTTTTTCTTTTTCAATAACAAATATTAAAGGGTAATAATCCCAAGATGACAACAACGACCCACCTAAGTCCTAACTCTTCTTAGTTTTTGAATCTTGAGTATTCCGATGACCTATTTCTTACTTTGATTATTTTAGTTTTTGTTGGAAAAATGCTCATCTATCAGGCCTTTACCTAGGAAAATGCTCAGAGTCACAGACTCATAGGCCGTTTCTTGGGCAAGACCCCCCCCTGGCCCCTAGATATGAGATATCTTTGCTTGTCAAGCCAAGCCAAGCCAAGCCAAACAATTGCAGAAGCCAGAAGGGACACGCCTTGCGAGCAGGAGTTTAGATAGAGAAGTATAAGAGAGGCTACACAGCTTGTACATGTCAGCATGGTCGGGTGATGTGGCAAGTCGGTTCAAAAGACCGGGTTGTCCTTGTTTACTGGACAAAAGCAAGGCCAAATGATAGGGATGTAGGGAACCAACGAAAAGATGCTTAGCTTCTCAAGGGTGGTGTTCCGAGCTCTTTATTCATAACTGTCAGAGACTTCTAAAACAGCCTTAATTTGCTTCGATTGCAGGCTTATGATTGAGGTGAATCTAAAATTTCTCTAGGTGTTATGGGGCCCTCTGCTTTACGCTTTTAAGCTCCCTAAATAACACATCAGATAAACCATAGGCTTATATGTACAGGAATGGGCCACAAGCATAGAAGGATTACAGTCTCAGAGCCGCTTATTTTCTCATTACTCTAAACAAGAGATACTCCCATTCCTCTTGTTTCTGAGTGTTGAAACCATGGTTTTCTGTGCTTATAGGATGTTTGTCCTTGTTATCTGTATTGGGTTCTTGGTTGTTCAACCACAAAAGGTTTCTGGTCTCAGCAGTATAGACCTTGTCCTCAGATGGAAGAAAGAAGAACAGGCACTTACGCCCAAGAACTCACGTTTCCTTGCGGCTGTTGAAGTAGAGGAGCTAAACACCAAGAAGAAATCAGTGTCCCCATCCTCAAGGCTAGACCCCAATAGGTCAAGCAAAAGAAGAGTTCGAAGAGGATCAGATCCAATTCACAATAGGTGTTGACACGTTTATTGAAGTTCTTGCTTCAACTACAGAATCAAGCAACAATGAAGCTGAATGACAGAAAATGATGGCTTTTCTCCATTCCTGAAACAAAGAGAAACCAGAGGGTGGTGGACATTTTCTGCTTCAGTCAGAGTTTTTATCCTGTGGGTTGGTTGGTTTTCTCTATTTTGTTTGATATTTAGAGGTTTTGTTACAGAGATGTGTATACATAGAGCTGCACTAGAGTGGCCCTTAAAGCCATACAGCGTTATCTCCATATTGTAAACTGAGATCCTAACCAATTATAGAAGAGAAAAGATACTGTAAGGATCATGCTGCAGGTTATCGAAAGCAAAATTACAATACAGTGGGGTTTCTTCTTTTTCTTTGAAGAAAAAGACTTGTATCTGTCTGCATTTGCAACTCTAGTTTTGCAGATTATACTGAAATTCTTTCACATCATTCCAGATTTAAAATTTTTCTGTATAAAGAGCCTAAGTTGTGTCTTAACTTCCTCCAAGTACTGATCATTTTCCCTCTTCATGATCATATCCCCGTCCTTGATGAAGTTTTTTTTCCTGTCTTGCCATTTTCTTTTGCACCACGTGCTTGCAAATGTCCCTGAGTTTTCAGCAACAAAGACTAAACTTAAATATCTCGCACTTCTTTTTCAAATGCATATCTTTCTTTTCAGGACCTTCATATTTATTCTGGTGGATTCTTGAATTCATTGCTTGCTTGTGCAAATGAGCAGAATGCGCATTTGCTAGAAATGCTTCTTTATTAAGTGTTTTGAAGCCACAATGTTGTAGTACATTACAAGGAGTTCAAATTTAATAACAAAAAAGAGAGGAAAAGAGAAGGATCAAACAGATAAAGCTCTTCTTTCAATTTACATGTATCTCTCTCAAAAACCAAGGAATCAAATAGATCTCTAGATGTATTGCAGATAAAGCTCATCATTTTGAGTATCAAATAGTTCTAGGAGCTTCATGACAGTCTGTCAAATAAATTCCACATTCAAGGAACGTTGCTGCTGCTGCTGCTGCTTATACTTTGACATAGTTTGCTTCTACCAGATTATACACTGTAACGTGGACTAGTACTCCTGATTTTCTTGAGCAAAGTATCTTAAAGGAGTTGTACGCTGAGTTGTGACATCAACCTTAGGGCTTTCCAAAAAGAAACTCTAGGCAAGGATCCACACTGGTTACAGGTGAGAAATATATAAAACTTCCATGGACATTCTTGTAATCCTATATAATCTTCCCAATGTGCTCAAATGGACGGAATCTGTTCTGACGGTGCACCCTAAGTCGAATTGATGGTACCTTACAGGAAACTGCTTTCCAAATCATTTCTACAGCATCCCCTGGCTGAGATGGATACCGATACTCAAAATGATGTTCAACCTCCTTTAGTTTTTCCCACATTTTGTTCCAATGCTGGTGCTTAATTCCCCTGAGTAGATCAAGTAGGAACCCCTTCTTTAGAGCATCAGATTCCCGTACAAATATACAGAATTCTGAGTAGTCCAAGACATCCTCATATGGGAGCTCAATCTCGTCACTAATGATCACAGGGACACAGTGGCTTGCAATGGCATCAAAGAGACGATTTGAGGAAGGGGTGTCTCCAGCAATGTTCAGACAGAATTTGGATGATGTCATCCCTTGACCCACTTTACCGATCCCATTATCATGAACACTTCCATATGTGAAGTGAACATCCTTCTCATCTTTGAGAAGATGGTAGAGTTTTTGACGAATGACTCCTCCCTGAAACATAAATCCATCATAACAATGCAGAGTGTAGAAGCTCATAATGACAAGGAACTCAAATAAATCAATCTTTTGCATATTATGTGTAAACAAAATGTATGATTTTGAAGCTTATTGCAAAAAGTGGGGAATAGAGAGGGTAGCTGCTGATGAAAAGGCCAGGAAGTAGAGTATCTGAAAAGCTTATGTTGGATATTATGTTAGGGTTTCAAAATGTTTTTTTATACTTCATAAAATAGCAACTGTTTCCACTAATTTGTTAAAAGGACTACCACATTCAATACAGGAGTAACAACTTAGCATTTTTCATGCTGTAAACATGGCAAAGATGAAAGTTAAATCCAACCAGATTCAAAGAGTCTGACCTAGGAAATCTCTTAGATAAACAAAATAGAAATGCAGGATCTCTTATGACTTGTGAGGCCACAAAACCAAAGGTCCCAAGAGGCAAATTTTGGCTGCGAGAATGTTGGATCCTTGTATAGACCCCATATGTAGAAGAGGATAAGAAGAGAATTTTATAGACATAAAATTACTGCACCAAGTTTTGAGCTTAGAACCTATCATAAAAAGGTATCAATTCCCCAATCCAATGATCATTTTTTTTAGGGGGGTAAAAGATCCTCCCTACAACAAACAAGAAAAGAGGATTTTTTTTTTGTCAACTTTGAGAAGAGTATTTACAAACTAAAATACCAATTACCTAACTTTACTTTTTGAATCTTCACTATTTCTTCCTTTCAATTTGATCTCTTGATATTGCTAAGAAACAAGAAAAAAAAGGATAAAAAAACTCCCATTTCCATTCTTTATCATACACGAGCATTTATCAGCTCAAGATAATCTCTCAGCATTTAGGTAAATGGACTAATGGGATTCTATCAAACAACTTTTTGGTGGAAAACTGGAAAAGATTTCTGATGATGTACTTCATCACAGGTATTATCATTAATCCACAAAGCAGGGAGATCTTGTTTTTAATGTGATATAATAACAAATCATGAATACAAGCTGAGAGTAATACAAAACTGGATAGAAGAACAGAAATACTTACATCTTTTCTATAAATTGCTCCTTGAAAATACACCAAGGTTGGGCGTTCCTCAAATGGCACAGAGTTACCACCAATCCGCACAACATGCTTGTATGGAGCAATTATATCCTTATCTAAGTTTGCTATCTGAGCTGAATATCTCCCAAAATCTGCAAGCACAAACATGGCAGAACCAAGCTTCTTCCTAGCATCCAACATGCTATTTGGATGGTGTGCTACAATTAGATGATCCTTCCCACCAGATCTCTTCCACTCATCACGATGCATCAGAAACTGCACCAACTTACTCTGCAAAATCTTGTTCATATTAACTTTCTCTGTTCCATGTAGCTTGGAATGTCTATTGTAGCTCAAAGATGAGAAGAAGGGCACAAAAATTATATCTGCCTGACTGACATTGTTCACTCTAACTGCACTACAAGGCCTTTCCACACCTGGGGTGCTCGATGAGAGAAGATCCAATGTGAGCCAATACTCCATACTGTGTTGTACGTTCAATCCACCAGGGTATGATGGGATGTCAGTGGGGTTGCTCAAATCTGGCCATATTTGACCAATTTTCCCATTCCAACCCAACAAACCGAAGTGAAATTGAGGAGGCAAGTCATACATAAACACCCTGAGGATGACTTGGTTTGGGTCACAGGTTTTCTTGCTTCCTTGTTGCAAAAGTCTCATCTCATCATTATTAGAACTGCAATCTTGACAGACATTATTTTGGGTACTTGATTTGGGTTTTCTAATATTTGTTGGAAAAGACAAAGGAAGGTTATTAGGAAGCTCATCACTTCTACTAACACTGTTGGAATTGAAGTAAACTGATGTTTTATTAAGGACTATCCCAAAAAATGATCCAGGTAACGATGAACTGAAACTTGATTGAAGCAGGAAGACATAAGAAGAGATCAAAACAAACATGGAGACGGTTATCATGCACAAAAGGAACCTTGAAGGTTGCATACTCTTTTCAAGCATGGAGAAATCTTGAGAAGCCAGAAACAACAAGCATAATAAATTTTCAAGACAATTAAAACAAAATTACATTGCAAAAAATCAATGTGTATCTCACAGTGCTGACAGACTGATAGGTGTTTCAACTCCTACCAAATAACGATAGCAGCTTGTGCTTCGCAAAAAAGAGAAATAAATATACTACACAAAGAACAAAAGGGAAGGCCATAACTATAATTGAAGTAGCTTAACCCAAATTCCTTTTTTTAGAACCCTAAAGGGGTTGTCTTCCAATAAGAAGACCTTCTCCTGGCATTGATTGATATTCTCAACATAATTCGATCCCCAAAAGGAGAACTTTCTTTTCTAAGGAAAACCTTCTCCCCCTGAATATTTGTCTGGTTCTCTCAAAAAGCCAGAAGATTCTCTACCATAATCTGGACGGCAAAAATCAATCTACAGACAAAAAGGGAACATAATTAAATTAACAGTCTTCAGCTATTAAAACATAAAAGCAGCATGCTTTATGTTTTGTTTATTTCGAGCTTAAAAACAGTCTGAAAACTCTGTCAAACTGAAAATGGAACACAGAGAAGCAAGAGAGGAGAACGAAGATAGAATTAAAAAAAAAATTAATCAGAAGAGTTCATCTGGGGCGTTCATATTTTGTGAATGCTAAAAGTGGGTAGATGAAAATATTGAAGAAGAGGTACCTGATGAGCTTGAGAGTAGAGAGATTACGACTTACGAGCGCGTGCTGAAGCTGAACATTGAGAAGGCAATCAATGAGTGGGATTTGGGAAGAATTATCTTTGTTTAAGACATTCTCTAGAGAAGGGTCAGAGTGTTTTAATTTGTCTATTGCTTTTGTTGCTCGCTCTAGTGATTTTATCTATTATTTTAATCGATTTTATTTTTACTCCTTGTCGTGTTCATGAGATGGATGGAGATCTACAAGTAGGTTTACCCTTTTCCGGAGGACGTTTCGTGTAGACTTTGGAATGGAGCCGAAGGAGTTGCATCTCAGCAACTGTGCACCGTTTTTTCCGACAAGAAGCGGAAGGTAAATAATGTATCTGTCCTTGATGGTCTAAAGCCGTTGGATTGAGGAGTGATGACCCAGGAATTGATAACGTCCACCTAGACCCAGGCTTTACGACTACGAAGACAAAAGAAACAGCCAAACAGGCAAACAGTTAACAGCGGTAGGGGGTTGGGATCTGCTACCAATCAAACGCTCCCTACCCCCTTCTCAGTGGAGACCTGTCACAGAACACTCCTCACACCAACCTCACAGCATATTATTCATGGCCTCATGGGGAGATGTTCGAGGAGAGGATATAAAGTCTGGATATGGTCCTAACACAGGGTTCCAACAACCGATCCAACAGTCGTTATATCTGTACATGTGTTAGGACTAGATATGATCATATGAGGTTGGTGTGAATTATGAAAGGTCTCTTGAACTAATACAATGGGAGTTACCTGAATTATGAAAAGTTTCAAATACCCCTCCGGCCTTAATTAGTGTGTGACGAAAGCAGATTTGGCCCTCCACTGACATCATGACACATGTCATCTCGGAACAACTGTACATGTGTTAGGACTAGATATGATCATATGAGGTTGGTGTGAATTATGAAAGGTCTCTTGAACTGATACAATGGGAATACCTGAATTATGAAAAGTTTCAAATACCCCTCCGGCCTTAATTAGTGTGTGATGAAGGCAGATTTGGCCCTCCACTCACATCATGATACATGTCATCTCGGAACAACTAGGTGACAATTTGCCTTAGCCAAAATGATGGAGTCCCAGTTGGCAACTTGGTGACTTGGTGACCTGGCGACTTGCCCCCGCCACTGACATGGTGACCTGGCAACCTGCCTTTGGTGCCGACCTAGCAACCTGACGACCTGCCTCTACCGCTGACCTGGTGGAAACCTAGCTGGCGACCTCATCCACAACTCAAAGCGGCTAGCAGCACCTCGTCCAGGGCCGACCTATGGTACCTCGTCAGTATTGGCCGAAGCTACCTCAACGTGAGGAGCGACCTCCCTCAAGGGCTTGCCGACTTGATTGAGGTCCAGGTGAAGACCTACGAGACGTGCTCACTGACGAATTCTGCATACATCCCATCACTCCTGGGTCTCTCGGAGCTCTCACACCAAATGTTTTGGAGGAAACCGAGTAAGGCGCAAAGATTGGCCTATGTGCACGACTACCTCCGAGGACTTCGGAGCAGTTAGGCACGTCTTCCTAGAGATCTCAGACGCATTGCGTGATGCCCACACCAAACAATGCTTATATAAAGGCCTTACCTCCAACATTAGAAGGGACATGCGCAATTTAGTTTTCGCAGCTCTCTAGCTCTCTTACTTTAAGCTCTCTCACAAAATCTCCGCATTCGCTAACTTAAGCATTGGAGTGCCCACCCCGGGAAAAGCAACCCGGGCACTCTGACATTGTTTCCTTGCATGTCGCATTAGAGTCACCTCTCCAGCTCGTCACCATCCAGCTAGGCATCAGAGCCACCTCTATAGCTCGTCACCATTCAGCTAGACATCAGAGCCACCTCTCTAGCTCGTTACCATCCAGCTAGGCGTCAGAGCCACCTCCCAGCTCGTCACCATACATCCAGGCATCAGAGTCACCTCTCCAGCTTGTCACCATTTAGCTAGGCATCAGAGCCACCTCTCTAGCTCGTCACCATTCAGCTAGGCATCAGAGCCACCTCTCCAGCTCATCACCATACAACCAGACATTAGAGTCACATCTCCATCTCGTCACCATCTAGCTAGGCATCAGAGCCACCTCTCCAACTCGTCACCATTCAGCTAGGCATCAGAGCCACCTCTCCAGCTCGTCACCATCCAGGTAGGCATCAGAGCCACCTCCCAGTTCGTCACCATTCAGCTAGGCGTCCAAGCCACCTTACAGGAAGGAACCATTCAGCTAGGTGTCCAAGCCACATTCCAGGTAGGGATTATTTAGCTAGGCATCTGAGTCACCAACCAACCAAGAGCTGCCAAAACGCACATCATCAGTGTGCACGTGCTTTTGCACGTGGTACATTTTAGGGATGCAAATGATCAAATCATGTTCCAATATGATCCAAAGTTCGATCCTATTTTGTTGGATTTAGATATCTTCATTCGAGTCTTTGGATTGGATTGTAATAGGATCCTGTTAGAAATCAAATCGAATTTGGATTACCCCCATTTGATTTGAGAGGATCCAATTCGATATATATTATTTATTTATAAATATGCTATTTATATTGCATTTTTGTTAATTTATTATATTATTTATTTTTATAAAAAACATGTATATATATGATGAAAATAGTTAAAAAGATACTTGCATTTTTTTCTTTATTTAAATTATTATATTTTATTTTTCTTTCAATAATTTATTAATTTAAAAAAATAAATCAAATTGGATCAGACTCGAATATCCGACTTCCTCATCAAATTTGAATTCAAATCAATGTTTGTGAGATCTGTGGATTAGATCGGATTTGTTGTTCATGGTCAGATTCAGATATACCCTATTTTGAATCCAATCCAATATGTTTGCATCCCTAGTAACTTTATAGGATGATGAAGATAGTGATGATGCACGATCTGGCCGGTCTTAGCTGTCGATAATCTTGCCTCTGAACCGAGTAACAGGGACCTGAAATGGGAGGAGAAGAGAAGCTCCGGGGAGAACCCGGCATAAGGGCTCCGAAGCTTAAGTTAGAATCCTTCAAAGGCAAGAATAACCAGATAGCGCGAGAGTTAGCATACCTCGTCCCTGGGGGGTAGAAGCTTTTATAACCACCTCGCGCACTCACTTCCAGGCCTCCGTCAGGTCGGGCATGATTACTTCTGAACTCCTGCCAGTTCGGGTGTCATTTCCTCTGGTC